TTGGGTTTTATTTTTTAATTTGGTAGAATTTAACTTGATAAAGATAGTTCCACTTGGATTTTACTTTTTAATTTATAAATAAAATTTATAAATAAAATTTATCTTGGCGCCTGTTGTTAATATCAAATCTTTTATACAAATGATATATTTGAAATAAATAGATAATAAATAACATGGATAGTACCATTTGAGTTTTACTTTGTAATTTGATAGTCTTTCTTTTACACACATGATACATATCGTTAGAGTTCAATAAATATGTGTCATTTATAAAGATAGTTGTACTTAGATTGTACTTTTTTATAATTTGGTTGGATTTATGTCCAACCAAATTATCACAGACTCATTGAAGGATGTGAGAGTAACAAGACGTTGTGTTCTTGTAAAAATTTTGTTACTCCCACATCCTCCAATGAGTCCGGACTTAAATCCACTCGCCGTGTAACATTAACTTTTACATTGCAAAAAAGTCGCAGTTTTTGAGGTCATTATAATAGAAAAAGAAGTTTCTTGTTCAGTTACTATTCGTTCGTCGAGAAATACGATATTTTGCTGCAAAGTAAAGTTTAAAATTCTCCAAAGTCCGGGGAACTTATTATTAGTGAAAATGCAAATTTTCTTCTTTGCAGAAAAACTGCTTTTTCACAAAGTTCCCCGGACTTTAGAGAATTTTGAACTTCATATTCGAGTTCAGCACGTCCAAATCTACCCAAATAGCACCGAAAATTTACAGAAATATCTCAGAAATATTTCAACTGAAAAGTGAAACATTTCATAAAAATTGCGAAGTATGTCTGCAATATTTCTGAGACAGCTCTGGGCACCTATTCTGTAACTGTTTTACACGCCTACCGACAGTTGTCGGTGTCGTTGCGCAGCTTTTTTACCATGTCGGTAGGTGTCTAAAACAGTTACAGAATAGGGGCCCTGGAACAGCAACATGCCCGCGATTCTTACACACATAAAACCTTGTTGAAAAGAATGGAAAATCCTCTGACATTAACACGGAATCAAAGAATATTTTATTTTGAGTGTTGTAATCTTTATTTCTATGGCTATCGCTATTCTGGTGTTTAAAACTTCGGGGCCCTTTAGCACTGGGGGCCCTGATGCGGTGCATGCTATGAATCTCCCTTTACACGGCCTTGCACATCAGAAAATGGAACTAATGCGTTAATTGTAAAAAGTTACTTTTATGTTACAAGTTACTTTTTGGTAATTTTACTGGTAACTGCGTTACTTTATTTTTATAACTGTAACGGTAACGTAGTTACATCTTATTAGTAACAGTAACGAATTTTACAGTTACTCTTATTGTTACTTTGCACATGATTGTACATGGTTCGATTAGACATAAGCCACTCATAGCGCGAGACTAGAAAGCCCCTCTACTGAAAAAAAATCACGTCGCACAGTTGCATGATGAAATCATGTAATTAAAATATGTAAATCACGTAACGGATTATTCCAAATCAGTAATTTTATAAAATTATGTAATTTGAAAAGTCACATGAAGATATGGTCTTTTTTCTTCTATTTCTACCGTTCAATTCTTTAAAATTCGATAAAATAAAATCACATCATGGATGAAACTATTTCTAATATCATGTGATTTTTCAAATTACTCCATACAGCATATAGAAACTTGCAGTAACATTGCAGAAGTGTTATAATATTGCAGATTGCGCTATGATAGCGCTGCAACATTGTAGGTATTCGGAATTATAATATATTCCTATAGGCGCAAAATATTCCTAGGATGTTATATAAATATTATTAAAAAAATTAAAATAAATTATTGTAATATTTTGAAAATATTATATAATATTTTTTAATGTTGTGAGAGCATTCACATGGTATATTTTCTTTAACATCCCTGAAATATTAAAATATTTATTAATATTAATTATTTTTATATTAGTGCGGTTTGAATTCACAATCCAATAATGAAAATGTTATCAACCTATGCTGCGTCTTATGCTTAAATAACGTTTCGGTGTGATTTGATGTATCCAGTCCTACAACTGCACACCAAAATTATTTTCAGTCTTTAAACATATATTTAAATTGAACCGGTGTAACAGTTTTACAAATTAAAATAAATGTTGTTATAGTACTTTTTAATATTCATACAATATTACAGTAATACGGAATAATGTTACTTTTAATAAGCATGTAATACTATCAGGAGTGAACATATAACCGTCCATTAATGTTTCAAGAATATTATTTAATATTATATAATTTCAGTAAAATGTTCTTCAAATGTTACATTTAATATTCTGGAAATATTCTGTTACGTCCTGTAGACGCCACGATTCTTTTCTTTCGAAAGACGGCTCCACGCCGCGACTGACGATGGCATTTATGAGATTCGAGTGCAATCTCCTGTTAACAATCTGAAAGAATTAGAAGGCCTAAAAAGCTTCCACGAAAACTCATAAATGCCACTCAAGAACGAACAACAACGCTGATACGAGGCTGGAAATGCCAGGCTTGCGAAATCCGTATGTCTGCGTCATACCCTAACTACCACCCGAGGCAGACTAACAATTCCATATTAGGAAAAAACGCAGGGCTAGAAGCGATACAATTACAAAATATGCCCATATAAGGAAATAACAAACACCCAAGCCGCCACCCGAGAGTGACTAACAATTCCATATCAAGTAAAGATAAAGCCGGCGCCACGTCGCGCCAAGAATAAAACGATCAAAAACAACCCCCATATTAACGTTATCTGAGACCAGACTTAAAATTCCTTACACGCGAACATCTTGAGAAAACCGATTAAACATCACGAGTAATGGTTTACT